GAGAACCATTGCTCTTGTAGTCTACAAGAATAGCAAGTGCTCTTAACCATGAGCCGGCTCTGCCCCTTATGTGACAGATTTTCATCAACATTAGTAGCTAATCTGGGAAGGAAGGGTACATTAACAATACTGTGAATCAAAGGAGACAGTGGCGCAGGTGCTACCGACAGCCAAGCACAGACATGGAGTCTTGTGGCAGCCAGTTCACATGCGCTCACATTGAAATGGACTCATGCCACAAACAAAGACTAGCAAGACATGGTACTAAATATGAACAGCCTTGTTATAATCCCAGAAATCACTCCCCTAAACTCTCCCCACAAAGAGACCCTGAAGTGTAGGTGGTGTGATTCACGGGAGTTAAGAAGGCGGTAACCACAAACCCTCCAGAAGCACAAGACAAAGGAAGCCCAGGATGTCCCCCATAACTAAGTTATTTCTAGTCCTGTCCTCAGGAACCCAAATACAGAAGCACTTACCCCAAAAGAGCAGGCCCGTCACTGTGTGAAGGGCAGAGTGAGGTAAACTCCTAGATAGAAATCAGTAGGTGCAGTCCACAATCCTGACATGATAACAGAGCAGAAGAGGCCACCGGTACAGATGCTGCCATTTCTCTGTTGACCTTTGGCCTTTGGAGACAGCTCTGTATAACACCCAGGCTGGCATTGAACTCCTGATCCTCCTACCACCACCTCCAAGTGCTGCAGATCTGTGCACAAACCATCATGCCAGCCAATCATGTCAGTATACACAAAGCCCTCACCCAAATGGATCATTGTTTAAAGGCAGTGAAGTAGGAAAGCAGTGTCTTTGTTCTAATAAAAAAGCATTACCAAGCCTAGAGAGCCTGGGATGTAGCTCTGCAGCTCACATACTGATGGCATCAGACCCTGAGTTCAGTCCCCAGCACCAAGAAACTAACAAGTAAACCCAGCGTGTTGCTTGAGGGGTGGGTTATCCAGGATGCCTTACCCACACAAGGTAAGGCCAAGCCCACAGGACCAAGGCCCACAAGTTAGAATGGAATAAGTCAAATCTGGCTTACCTCCATCCAACAGGACTCCACAGAAAATACCAAGGAACCAGCAACAGAAATACAGCCCATTCAAACAAGTGAATTTAAAATGAGCCCCAGTTAGAGGATCGGTGTGCAATAATTAAGTATGTTCCTATGGTAGGAATAGTTGGAAAGTAAAGCTACAGGACAATATGAGCTAACAGAAAGTAGTTACAAATAAGTTTAACAAAAAAAAAAAAAAATGTGCACTAGAACTTCAGGTGTTGCTGGCAGGACCTGGAAAAATGACTCATCCTTATGAACACTTGTTGCCGTTGCAGAGGACCCAGGTTCAACTCCCAGCACTCACATGATGGCTCACAACCATCAGTAACTCCAGTTCCAGAGGCTCCAATTCCTTCTTCTGACCTCGATGGACACCAAGCAGCCATGTGATACACATGCATACATGTAGGCAAAACACTCAGAAAGTAAATAAACCTTTAAAAAGCAATGAAAGAATTGATCAGTTGCTGATAGGAACACAAGGAGGTATAAATGAGTAGAGCCTCCCCGAGTTTGTTCAGAGTCAACTTTCCCAAGCAAACGAAAAGCAGGTGTTTTTATAGACATTGGCAAAGTGATTTTGAAACGTGTGTGTGGGTTACCTAGCATGCACAAAGCTCTGAGCTCTGGGTTCTAACCTCCAGGTCTGCAAAAGATGACTTAGTTTAAAAAGTTAAAAATAATTAAGTGTCCATGTCAAAATAGAGAGCTGAGACATGTGAGTCTTGAGAAACAGCAGTAAAGCTGGCTGAGACAGCAGCTGACAGACTCGGGCTCGAGGGTGCTATGGTGTTGACGTGGAGGTCAGTCAGTGAGTGGAAAATGGCTCATACTTTGTGCTCACTTACTTTTCAGTAAAGGCACCAATAACTAGGGAAGAATGTTTAACTAACAAATTGTGCTAGAATAGCTGATATACATGGAAGGAAAATCAGCCATACACAAAAATGGTTAAACTTCTGGGTTAGCAGGACCAGGGCTATGAGTTGGCTCACACTATCCATGTTCTGCGGGAGTATGTGAAGGGTCCAGTCCTGCAAACCCAAAGCTGCAAGATCTCCACGACACAGGGTAACATCCAAGAGGAGTCCCAGTGAGGGACCAGCATCCATATGGTAGCAGAAATCAAAGGCCTTGTACCAGACCAATGCTGCAGTGAACACTTGAAACTAAACATGTATGGATAAAAGGTTTACTGTGTGACCCACTGGGTCGCACTACAGCTTCTATGACGAGATTTTTCTTTTTTCTTTTTCCTTTTTTCCTTCTTAGATTTTACTTCATTGGGGGGGTTGCAAGGGCAGAGGGCGGATACAAAGGGACGGGGAAAGGAAGGAAATGGAGATGCACAATGTGAAAGACACAAATAATAAATAAAAAGAAAGTTTTAAAAAGCTTCTGAGTTGAAAATATCATCAAACATCTTCAGAATCTAGGGGAGGCAGGGTAATTTGGTTTGGTGTGGTATGGTATAGATCTTGTATTTTTGTTTACAGTTTGGGGGAATGTAACCCCAAGGTCTCTCACATACTAAGTAAATGTTCAACCACTGAACTCCATACCCAGCCCAAGGCAGTCTCGTAGGGCACTGAAGGCAGCATCCACAAAAGACCACCATGGGGAAGTGGGTGTGATCAGGCATAATTCGAATGCTTTAGAGGCTGAGGCAGGAGGACCACAAGCTCAAGGCCAACCTGGACTACATGGTGAGAAAATAAATAGACAGACATGGTAGAGATTGGGATAGAAGGTATATAATGAAGTTTATAGCTTAGTAATTCTCATCTTGTTTCATTTTTTGAGACAGGGTTTCTCTGGGAAGAAATCAGAAACCAGATGCCACCACTGCCTGGCTCTAGTTCATTTTTTTTTTTTAATGGCAAGACTATAATAGACATTTTATGAGAAAAAAAGTACATGAATGAGTGATAAGCATGTAAAAAATGTTCCTTACATTAAGGAAATGCAAGTCATGATGGCACATACAACATTCCCAAGAGAATAGCTGAAATTTGAAATTAAAGAGGCCCGTGACCACAGATGTTGGGGAGGGTATACAAACTTCAATTCATTGACACAGCCTGGTGGCACACACCTTTAATGCCAGCACTCAGGAGACAGAGGCAGGTAGATCTCTGTAAGAGTTCCAGGACAACCAGGGACGTTATGCAGAGAAACCCTGTCTCAAAAAAAAAAACTTTTTTAAATTAAAAAAGGAAGAAAATCTTCAGTTAATGGCTGGGTATGCATTCCTTTAATCCCACACTTGAAAGGCAGAGGCAAGTAGATCTCTATGAATCCAAGCCTGGTCTACATAGCAAGTTCCAGGACAGCCAAGGCTTCAGTTCACTTTGGAAATGTTTGACAGGTTTTTGTTTTGTTAAACAGTACAGTTACCAGCCAGTCGATGATGGTGCACCCCTTTAATGCCAGCACTCAGGAACCAGAGGCAGGTGGATCTCTGTGAGTTCAAGACCAGCCTGGTCTACAAGAGCTAGTTCCAGGACAGGCTCCAGAGCCACAGAGAACCCTGTCTCGAAAAACCAGAAAAGAAAAAGAAAAAGAAAAAACTAGTGCAGTAACCCTGTAGCATATCTAGCCAAGGAAAAATGGAACCCGCATCCACAAAATTGAACTCTACAAAAATGGTCATGACAGTGTGATTCATAATTAGCCAGAACTGCAGCCATGAATCACCAGACACACAAATAAGTTGAATAGTGTTGTAGTCAGACAGCGCAACATAAGTCATAGTGAATAGAAACGAGCCACAGGGATGAATCTCAAGACAACCATGCTGAAAGAAAAAAAGGCACACACGGAACAATACGCAGAGTTCAGTCCCGCTTGAAAACTAGATGAAGTTAATTTAGGGGAAAAAACAGAATTGCCTCCATGGACATTCAGGAAGGACAGACTGACTACGGAGTATGCAAGGCTAGGATCTGGGTTTTAATGGGTGTAATTTTTTCTGGAGAACGGCCCACAGTAACCAACAGGGAGCACCAGGTGAAGCCTAGCTGTGCCGAGCACAAATGCTGCTCCTCCCAGAGGCTGAGTGCTCTTTGCATGGTAGTTTGTTGCTCTTCTCTTATGTTCATTTTTGCATGAAAGAACTGAAGGTATTGGGCAAAGGGAGGGATGCAGAGTGTGAGAACTGGGCCTGGCACTGTACCGCGGGGTTTTCAATGGCAGACATAAAGTGCAAAACCTGTATCAAGCTTTCAGTTGTTTCCCTGAAGTCGGGAGGGCATTGAGCACAGGGGAGGGGAGGCTCCAGAGAACCCAACAAAAGCCATTTTTCTAACCAAACATAGAAGAGAGTGCCAAGCTTGACAATCTGTGGTTTAATGTCAACAGTTTGTAAATTACTAACAAGTCACATTTTTAAAAAAGTCCTGATGATTTGTTTCCTAATTGATTCAAACCAGTTTGGGATTGTGTGTACATCTCATTTCTTTTCGATCCTTTTCTTTTAATTTGCTTTCCATATGAAGACTGGTACAAATGACTCTAAAAGGTAGGTAGGTTACTTAACATACTCAGTTTTAAGAAACTGTTATAGTTTTACGGTTAACAAAAATGTAAGTATTTCAGCATGTTACAAATGAATAAAAGGAAGAGCATATATAGCAGAATGGCCTTGTGTGTGGTATGAATCTGAAAATGTGGCTGTAAACTACCAGTGGTGTAAGAACATGCCTGAATAAAAATCACCCAAAAGGAAGACGAGGTAGAAAGCTTACAGAATGCAGAGCTCACTTGGAGGATCTGCTGCTAAGCAGAGAACTGTGGCTGTGGTGGGTCTTCCACTTGCTTCCTCCTGCAGTCTTGTGTGGCCTGCAGGCAGCCACAGACAACAGCTTAGCACCTATTTGAAAGTTTCTTCGAAGCCCGGTTAGACAAACTTGTGAGTGTGTGTCTGTAATCTTTTCAGCTGCAGAAGATCATAAGTAAGCAAGATGACTTCAAGACAGTGAAGATTAGTGAGACCGAATCCCAGGTATGTACGGAAACACTTCCAAGTACACGGTGTTGGTGACAGCTGCCATCTTCCCAGGCCACTGTGGGATTCATGAAGAACGTGGTATCCCACTGAGCTACACAGGTGTGTGCAGATGCACAGACCTGTCCTGCAGTCTGGGTCCCCTGCCCTGGTCTGTGAGTGCTGTTCCTATGTATGTCCAGGTCTCTTTTTTTTTTTGTTTTGTTTTTGTTTTTGTTTTTCTTTGAGGCAAAGTCTCACTCTGTAACTCAGTCTGGCCTTGAACTTCTAACAATCCTCCATCAGCTTCCCTAGTGCAAGGGTTACAGATGTGTTACAGCCACACACCCAGTGTGATTTTCATTTTTACATAGGCAGTAGTATACTGTATATTTCTCCACATTTTCACATAGTATGTCTAAAAACCATGTGAGGGCAGTATGTGTGTCCACAGCACAGATGTCTGTCCTTGTCCACCTTGTTTAGGACTCTGCTCTCTGCACCTCCCACCTGCACACAGGAGCACTGGGATTACAAACAGGTGCTGTTGTATCTGCTGAGGATCGGAGCTCAGGTCCTCACGTTTGTGTGGTAAGTGCTTTACACACTAAGTCGTCTCCCTAGCTCAATATCTCATCTCATTGGGGCCTCAAAGTACATTGTTAGGTGGCTGTGATATTTATGCTGTCATTCCCCTTTTGGGAAGTATTCAACATATGTCTGTCTTTCATAGTTCATAAAGCTTCAAGGAATAATCCCAGGATCACACTGTTTTATAGGCATGCGACTGTATCCTAGGGATAACTTACCACAAATTCAGTTGCTGGATCAAAATGTGACTGTTGATGAGGTTAGCAGACTCTGACAAACATTTACCCATATGACAAACTCTGTCATATGGGACCTGAATTTTCATTTCCACCAGTGATGTATACCAATACATTTTAATCCTCTATTAATTGTAACTCCATCTTGTGAGACTTTCTTAAACCTCCGAATCACCCCATCTTTAGAACACATATCTATTTCAAAATGTTTAAGTTTTTAAAAAATCACAGCCTCTGCCAGGAGCACATCCATATCCGAGCACTTGAGAGGCACAGACAGACAGATCTCTGTGAGTTCAAGGCTAGCCTGGGCTACACAATGAGACCCCATCAGAAACCAAAGCAACCTCCCCTCCACTGACAGCACATGGAGCACTGAGACAGCACATCAGGGGAGGATTTAATACCTGATGCCAAAAGTTGTCTTTCTAGAAAGAAAACAATATTTCAATTAAGTTAGTCCAGGCTGGGGAATTGCTGTTGATAAAACATTTGCATTGGAAGCCCAAGGACATGAACTCAATCCCCAGAACCCACATAAAAGCTAGGTTTTGGCAGTGCACACTTGTAACCCAACACTGGGAAGGTGGACAGGGTATCCTCAGGGTTCCCTGGCAAGCTGGTCTAACCTAACCTGGACCAGTGGGAGGTCTCTGTATTCCTGAGGGTGACATCTAGGGCTGGCCTGTAACCTACACATACACACACACACACACACACACATACACACACACAGAGAGAGAGAGAGAGAGAGAGAGAGAGAGAGAGAGAGAGAGAGAGAGTTAAAAACAGCAGTAATTAAGAGCTGGGGAAAGGGCTCTGTGTCTAAAGCACTTGTGTGGAAACATGAGAACTGAACTCATGTACACACTGGGTGGGTAGAGGGGCCACAGTGATTGCAGCTTTGCAGACAAAGTGCTCCAGACAGCTCAGGGCCCACCCAGTTAGAGACCCTAACCCAGCGCAGTGGAGAGTAATCCAAAGGAAGTCCCATGTCAGCCTTGAGCCTCCACACGGTGCACCCTCGAATACACGTGTGCCCACACACACTCATATACAAAGGCAGGTATGTATTGATACGTGAATAAGAAACTCCTTGAAACAGAAAGGAAAACTTAGAAACAAATGCTTAGAGCAAAGGATGTTTAAATTGTTAAAACAGTGCCATATTCCTCCTTGTAACTCAGAATCCGAGCCTGGGAGGTAGAATTGTGACTTTGAGGCCATGTTGGGCTACGGTGAGATACTTACCTCAAAAGGGGGGGGGGGGCCTTGGCAGGTAGCTCAGTAGTTAAGAGCATTGGCTGCACTTCCAGAGGTCTGAGTTCAATTCCCAGCACCCACATGGCAGTTCACAACTGTCTATAACTCTAGGCCTATGGGATCGATGCCCTCTTCTAGTGTGCAGACATACATGCAGACAGAACGCAGATATACATAAATAAATCTTTAAAAGGGGAAACGAGCAAGGCGACTGACAACGCAGTTCAGTGTTGGGGGCTTACAGAGCATGCACAGAAGCCTGGGTCCAGTCCCCAGCACCACGTAAATCAGGCACAGAGGGGGCAGTCATCCAGGAGGTCAGCGTCAGCCTTGCTACAAGAAACCCTATCTCAAAAGAACAAGTTAAAATAGACTTTTAAAGTAAAATCAGCAACTCATTATCAGGGACTCCAAAGCAGGTGTGGTGTGAAATGTAACTTCATTTAGTTTTATACTTAGAGCAAGACTTAAATCTAAATCTAGTTAGAAAAACAAAATTACCAGGGATTTAAGGGGAAGAGTTGGTAAATATCATCAAAATACACTGTATGGAATTCTCAAGGAATTAATAAGAATATTCTAGCTACTATAAACTTTTATCCATGCTTTGACATTTGGTCTGATATATAGTAAATATCAAAAGTAGAAGCTATCCTTCTGAAGGGAATGTGGAAGTATAACATTCTGTCTAAATATATAGCTTACACACCACAAAATTAATGGCCATCATATTTTTATAAAGTTAAATGTTATTCAGATTACCAGGACAATCATAATAGTCAGCTACTATCAAATAGCCCATCAGTAAACACCATATATTCTTTTTGAAGTAAAACCAGTTTTTTCTGAGCTTAAATTTGGGGACATTTGGCTATTTAATTGATTTGACCTTTCATCCTGTAATCCTGAGGCAGATACCCTTAGCTTCATTAGATATGTAGGATCTTAGTACTACAGAAATTTGAGTCTAAAAATAAAAATTTCTAGGTCATAGCCAAACTGAGTGGAAGAGAAAATAAAGACACCTTCATAGATAATGGTGTCTGTGGGCCCCGGGCAGATACAGGCCTTTGCTAAGAGGTGCCAGAGAGCTCCGGACAGTCTTTCAGTTGTTTGAGTTAGGTGGCCCCTGTTTTAAACAAGTTCTGGAGAAAGATAACTCTGTGGTGCGGCCCCTGTCTGAACTGCCGGCCACTCTGTATAAGAAGCCAGCAGTGAAGGCAGGACTATAGGGACAGAGCTGCAAGAAGCACTGGGTACTACACTCCAGACCAGCGTGGTGTGGGCCACAGAGCTTCTGGGTAGCAGTGTCAGAAGCATTTCAAGGAGCAGTGTTAGAAAGGGAGTTACTCAATTAGTGAGGGTGAGGGGTGGGCACCCTGGACTCTTTCTAGATTTTGACTTTCCCCCATCTAGTATCTGTAGGTTTGTCCTGTTAGGGTGTGTCCCTTCTGCACCTAGTTTCTGTATGGCTTTTATCACAAAGGGATGTTAAGTGGAGGGGGGTGGGGGTCCTGTCAATCAAGGTAATAAGCAGGAGTGCCTGCCCTCTCCCTTCTTGTCCTGCAGGACACACTTGTGGATGTTTGCCAGGCTCCCACCCACAGGTCCCTTTTGTCTTTTTTATAGGACCCAGCAGTAAAAGAGCCTGGAATTAACACAACCCTTCAAGTGCGGTTCTTTGGGAAAAAAGGAGAAAAAAAACTTCATTACAAAGAATTTCGAAGGTAAACATAAAATTTGTGAAAATTTTATATGTAAGAAATACACTGACCAGACATTGGTGGCGCACACCTTTAATCCCAGCACTCAGGGGTTAGAGGCAGGCAGATCTCTCAGTTCAAGGTCACCCCAGTCCACAAAACAAGTTCCAGGACAGTCAGGGCTACACAAAGAAAGCCTGTCTCAAAAAGCCAAAAAGAAAACAAAGGAAGAAGAAGAAAGAAAAGAAATGAAGAGACTGGGTGTACTCATTTCCTAGAACTGTGTGTAAGCTGTAAAGCAACAGCTTCTAAGTCATGACCCCTTTGGCAACCCTCTATCTCCAAAACTGCGCACATTATGATTCTTAACACAAAACAACCAGTCCAACTTAACATAAAACACGGCCATGCTCTGTATCCGAGTGCAGCTCTGCGGGGCCAGCACTGGCTGATCTCAATTGGAGTTACTGTGTGCTTATACTGTGGGGACTCAGCGCTTGTCTGCACAGGCCTCTTCTATAGAGGCCCTGCAGTAACTGCACAACCCAACAGCCATGCTGTGAGAGCAGTCACAACAGTGTAGTAGGAAGCAGACAGCACCATGTCTCAGACAAAGCTTTGCACTGACATTGACTTTAAGCATTTCACTTAACTTCCCTGAACTTTTTTCTTCGTAAAACTGGGCCAATAACACTTACAGTATATGATTACTGTAGACATTAATACAGAGGAGCCCTGCTCACCTCCTCCCTGAGCCTCCCTATAGCTCTCTTTGGAACACGGTCTCTAAACAGGTACTAGAAAGCAGCAGATCACAATACCAGAAACATACTGATCTGGAAGGCAGAGGGCCTGCACCTTGCTCAGCTCACTAAATGTATGTATACCATGTGCTGTTGTATGTCAGGCCGTGTCTCAGACACAAATCCCAGTTACAAGCTATGTGGTAAACATGCACAATTGCACTGAGTGCTTCTGTCAATGAAGAGGTGATTATTACTCACTGGTTTTACCCCAGGTGAGAAGTTAGGAGTAGATAAAAGGGACACCCAGGTGAAGGTGGTTCCCATGTGCGTTTATCAGGTGGTTTTCTTTAAAAAGGCCTTTGGCATTGCAAGGAGACTGCAGTGTGAGAAGGGATACGTGTCCTTCCCTCTCATAGCTGGCACCAGTGCACGAAGCTTCCGTAGCCAGTGCCATTCAGATGAGGCGTCACTTCTGCTTCTCCTCTCGTTCTCTGTCCAGTTGCCCCTTCCCATGGTCTCTTGGTTCCTCACTTCTCGCCCAGTGCCCGCAGCCCAGCACAGTTCTTAGCTTATTGCTCGGTTTCCTCCTTGCTCTTACCCTCCTTCCTCCTATCTCAGAGGGTGAAAAGACCAGCACAGCAAATGTCTCTTCATTTGCTACACATGCATCTACAAGTAAAGCACTCTTTTAATAATCCCAATGCAAATCAGTCGGGGGCAAGGAGATGGCTCAGTCAGTTAAGTTGTGCTCTATAAGCACAAGGACCTGAGTTTGCCAGCAGCCATGTGAAAACACAGGCATGCAGCACATACCTATAACCCCAATGTTGGAGAGGCAGAAACAAGGATCCCTGGAGCTTGCTGGCTAGCCAGATCCACCAAATCAGCAATGACAGACCCTGTGTCAAAAAATAAGGTGGAAAAGTGATAGAGGAAGAGCCCAAGCTTCAATCTGTAGCCCTCACAAGCATTGAAACACACACAGGCACACACATTAACACACATGCACCCATACACACACAGTCACACATGTACCCATACAAACACACTAACGCATGTGCACACGCTAACACCATAAAAAAGAATCACTGAATATTAGCATAGTACACAATACACTAAAAGTTAGTAAAACAAAATGTAAATATATCAGTAAAATATCTCCGACCATTAGTTCAATATACAACCCAAAATGCATTCAGCTTTAGACAAAAGTCTACTTTGACCCAGAAAGAAACATAGCATCAAAAATCCATGCATCTGGTACATTCAGCAAATGTTATAGGTAACAGGCACTCATCACAGAGAGATGCCTCTGTCTGTGCACACTTCAAAGTTTACAGGAGAAATGCAAACCCTAAAGTAAGCTATTAACTGAACTGAATGTATGTATTTTTATCCCATGTATATATTCTACCCATTTTAAACTGTATTATGACACACAAATAACAGATATATTTTAAAGGAGATTGCAATGCATGAAAACATCGAATGCTCATAATGGCTTGCACATTACTCAGGTAATAAACCCTAGTGTAACTTTTCTAGATTCTTGTTCGATAAAGTAAAAGTTTGATCTTCCAGCTATTGGTGTGACTTTGCTCAAAGTGCAATGCTGTTTTATTTTTTTTTTAAAAGGCATGTTGAGTCACATAGATTCACACTGTTGCCCCAAAAACTGCAGATAATTTCATGCAGGCCTAAGCTTCTGATACAAAGTCATTGTTTCTATGTCAGGGTTCATTCATTATTAAGCTAAAAGGAATGTCCTCTCCTAAATGTTACTTTTTCCACTTATTGATGCTTCTACACTGGGAAAATGCTTTCCATGGAATGTTATTTTCTGTGGATTTATTAAAGCAATGTTGAATACAGCTTGGGTTGCCAGGTGTAATCTGCACCTGCTGGACTGTTGGGTGTGGCCAGCTTCTCTGCCTGCTCTCTCCTCCACAGCCAGGACACAGCCCTCTTCAGCATCTGCTCACCTGCTGGAGGCTAGCCACTTGATGTGGGGGAGGGAGCTGCCCTGCAGTCCCCTTACAATGTTAAGGTGGAATGCCACTAGCTGCTTATACCAATTTTGTATTTTAATATTTAGATTTATGGAAAATTTACAAACAGAAGTTCAAGAAATGGAATTCCTTCAGTTTTCTAAGGGTCTGAATTTCATGAGAAAGGAAGACTTTGCAGAGTGGCTCCTTTTCTTTACTAACACCGAGAATAAAGACATCTACTGGAAAAACGTGAGAGAAAAGTTGTCAGTAGGAGAGGTCGGTATGCCTTTTTATACCTGTGTGATAGAAATGAAACAAACTAGGAATTTCATATAACCAAGTAAAGTAACTTCTAAATTAACTGAGGCTGTGCTCCTGTTACTGAAGCATGGCACCAGGTCAAGGATGTTTTCCGAGTGCTGGCTCCATGTCCTGAGCTGCCTCACACACAGAGGACAGACTGCAGCTCCACTGTGAGGCTCTACCCAGTGAAAATGAGCAAGGTTGTTTGTAGAGGAGGTCATGGGTGTCAGCTATATATGTGGGATTTGACTATACACCCAGTGAATCCAGTGGCCCACTTGAAAACCATTAGGAACAATATGAATTCACTGAAATGTCTGTTGTGTCATTAGCATACTAGAAGCTTTTTAAGTGAGAAGATGTGTATGAGATACAAAGTGATAAAATCACCAAATTCACAATCGTGGTGTTTGTATATGTCTGAGTTACTTTCTGGTGCTGTGATAAACCGGCATGACTAAGGCCACTTACAGAAGAAAACATTTAACTTGGGCTTACAGTTTCAGAGTTAGAGTCCATGGTGTATTTCTACAAAAGGGAAAAGATAAAATATGAGTGATCCAGCCAGGCAAGGTGGGGAATGCCTTTAATCCCAGCATTTGGGAAGCAGAGGCAGGTAGATGTCTGTGAGTTTAAGGACAGCCAGGGCTACACAAAGAAGCTCTTGTCATTAAAACAAGAATGTATGAATGATCCTTTTTCCCTGCCTCACAATGATGTCCAGTCAGGCCTTGAATTTGTAATTCTCCTGCCTTAACCTCCTGTGTGCCACCATGCCCAGACAATCAATACTATTGATAATTGAAATGGAAATACATAATTACAAATGAGTTTAATTTTTAAAATTAAGAAATGTTTACAATGATGGTGAATGCTGTTAGTCCCAGTACTCCAGAGGCCGAGGCAGGTGGATCTTGAGTTTGAGGCCAGCCTGTCTACAAGTGAGTTCCAGGATAACCAGGGGTTTTTTGTTGTTGTTGTTTTGTTTTGTTTTTGTTTTTGGATTTTCAAGACAGGGTTTCTCTGTGACTTTGGAGCCTGTCCTGGAACAGTTCTTGTAGACCATGCTGGTCTCAAACTCACAGAGATCACCCTGCTTCTGCCTCCCCAGTGCTGGGATTAAAGGCGTGTGCCACCACCACCTGGCTAACAGCAAGGCTTATGAAGAGAAACCGTGTCTCAAAAAACCAAAAATTAAAAATTAAAAAAAAAAGGAAAGAAATGTTTACAACCCTGATTAAATACAAAGGAAACATCTAATTTTAGAGATTTCCCCAGTATTAAATAGGAAACTCAAATGTTTTACATATAAATATTCCTTCTGGGCTGCGACAGCTGAAGCTAATTAAAACATAATGGAATCTTTTAAAATCCATGATCCTGGAACGCTGAGACTTCTCTATTTACATGAGAGCTTTAAAGATCAATCTGTCAGTTACTATAGAGTATCTACAATTTTATGTTTGCAGATTATCCTGCATAGTTTAATGGATGCTTACAGAAGATACAAGGCTATTGGGTCAGAGACAAAAAAAAAAAAGAACTATGACTCATAGTAAGAGTGTGAGCATCCTGCCTGTGCCAGTTTCCCCTTGCCACCCAAGGCCCATAACAGTGATTCGGAAAGTCCCTGACGAAAGCTACTGTGCAAGAAATCATACACAGCCAAACAAACCAGTCCTTTGGAAGAGGCAGGAAGCGAGGTTTCCTGACCTTCGCTGCAGAAGGAGGGCCTGTCTTTGTTATACCAGAGTAAGCACAGGAGGCCTCTGTCTGAGGAAGACAGTGTGTATACAGAGTGCCCGTGTTAGTGCAGCCACCTCTGGGCTGTGGTCCTGGATTCTGTAAGAAAACAGACTGAGCAAGCCAGCAAGCAGCTCCCTTCCATGGCCTCTGCATCATGAGCTCCTGCCTCCAGATTCCTGCCCAGCTTGAGTTCCTGTCCTCACCTCCTTTGGTGACGAAAGGTGATGTGGAAACCCTTTCCTCTCCAAGTTGCTTTGGTCATGGTGTCTCATAACAGCAATGATAACCCTCACCAGGACAGGACATAAAGTCTCAAGAAGGAGAATCACACATGAACAGTGTAAAGCCTCAATTTGATGATGTATGAGTTCAGGCGGTGATGATGCCATTTCCGCCTGTAGAGAAGGTCTGCGTTCACTCCTTAGCCTGCTGAAAAGGAAAGAGAAGTAGGCCTCACAGTGGCTGCACTCCATGCCAGTCTCAAGGTCATGATAGGATATACAGAGAAATGTTTCTTGTTCCACAACTGTGGTGACAGTTAACTGTGAAAACAAAACAAACAAAGCAGAAGGCAGAAATGCATGAAAAGTTTGTTCCCGAGTCAGACAGGTACTTTGTGTTGTGTGGGGTGCACAGCCGAGTTTGTATGAGCCGGGTATTTCTGGAAGCATACAGGTGCTGTCAGTGCCTTTGCAATGAGGTCATAAGAGGGGTCGGAGGAGGAAGGCAGGCTCCGTGTCCTTCACACTGCTGGCATTTTTTACCTTGGTCATATATTCTTTACAGTTTTTGTGTTGGGACTGGAGAGATGGCTCAGTGGTTAAGAACATAGCTGCTCTTGTAGAGGACCCACCCAGTTTGATCTTAGCACCCACATGATGGCTCACAACTGTCTGTAACTCCATCCAGGGCATCCATGCCTTCTTCTGGTCCCCATGGAAACGAGGCATGCAAGTGGTGCACAGACAACACCCATACACATAACAGGAATAATGAATTTTTTTTAAATTTGTTGCAGTTTTTACAAATGAAACTTTGTGTCGCAAAGGCTGAAAGCAGTGAGACTTGAGTAGACCACATATGGACAGAGGGCAAGTCCTAAAAGGCCCTGCAGAGATTAAGATCAGGAAGAACTTTCTTTCACACTGTGGCTCTGCTTGTGTGTACCTGTAACCCAGCTACTGTGGAGGTTAAGACTGAGTGATACTAAGTTTGAGATTAGTCCACTCTGCATCAGTTAAAGGAGGAGAATTTTCTGATTTTTTTTTTAATTTAAGATTTATTTATCTCCTGTATATGAGTGCTCTATCTGCATGTATGACTCTATGCCAGAAGAGGGCACAGATAGGTGTGAGCCACCAGGTGGGTGCTGGGAATTGAACTCCTGTCCTCTGCAAGAGCAGCCAGTGCTCTTAACTGCTGAGCCATCTCTTCTGCCCCCTCTCCAATTTCTTTTTACTGGAAAAGTTGGCTTTTTAACTTGGGTTTTGTGTGTACATGGATACTGAAATCAAAAAGACCATGGTTCATATCTCAGTTGTTCTACTCCACAGACCTTAGGCAAAGGAACTTGAGTTGCCTCCCTGAGATTTAGGCTAAGATTGTACACATCACAGATGGTGGAGATGGTTTCAGCATAGGCAACCTTGCTCGCTGGTTAAGTGGGAGTGGCCCACTGAACAGGTATTAGTCTCTTCAGCCGAAGTCACAAAGTACAGAAACCTGTCTTCTCTCTGTTCTGGAAATGTGAAATCTAAGATCAAAGTGCCAACAAGACTAGATTTAAACTGCTTTTTGGTGAAATTCCTCTCAGCTTCCACACAGTGTCCTCTGTGTCTTTGTATGGCTTCAAAATGAGAATAAGAAAAGGAACTAGGACTGGTCCAGACTACCACATAGACACGTGGTAGCCTTTATTCTTGTGGGCCTTCGGCAGCTCTAGAATCTAGTATTCCATTCTTACGGTATGTCTTTAATATTTTATCACCTTGCTTAGAGAGATCCAAGTTCATAAGCTTTAGGATAGAAGACTTAACATCAATAAGATTTTGATGTATATACAAAATTGTAATTTTAAAAAAACCTTTATTTTTATTAGAGCATTAGTTTGGATGAGTTCAAGTCATTTTGCCATTTCACAACGCATTTGGAAGACTTTGCTATTGCCATGCAAATGTTTAGCTTAGCTCATCGACCCGTGAGACTGGGTAAGATACAGATCATTTCATTTTTATTGTCTGTAAGTAGTTTCACTATTCAGTAGATAATACCAATAAGGGATGATTGGCAGTAAAATAATGCATTGTGGTTATTCTTGATTCTTAGCCCCAGCGCACTTACTCAAGAGTTACTTTTGGCTTTTATTTTCTTATTTGGGGTGGGGGGGCAGGATTGAATATGTTACTGGGAGTGGGAACCTTGATTAACTTAAAATGGCATGCTTTACTCTCGATATTTCTCAACCAAATGCATGGTTTGACTACACTTGTGATTTGAATACTCTTCTCAAATAAAGGAAATATGCGTTGCATCTACTTAGACTAATTTACATGATTGATTGGCAGTTTCTTGTTTTGCTTTTTAGCTGAGTTTAAGAGAGCTGTGAAAGTAGCAACTGGACAGGAGCTCTCAAACAATATTTTGGACACTGTCTTCAAGATCTTTGACTTGGACGGTGACGAATGCCTCAGCCATGGGGAATTTCTTGGAGTATTGAAAAACAGGATGCATCGAGGTTTATGGGTAACAGATTTGTAGTTTGTTTATTGTTTGTTTTTTTTTTTATTAAACCTGTGTTTTTGCATGTTAGTAACAATGGCATTAAACCTAGAAATTAGGGCAAATAAAATATGTTAAGGCAAATGAAATGTGTTAAATGGAACCTTAACCATTTACACAGAAACTATAAACTACAACCAGAAACACTCAACTGTCTTTCACAAAGAATGATATTTAACATTTTCTTTGCTTTAAAAAAACCTGAGCCTGGGGAGATGGTTCAGTTAGTAAGGACCTGAGTTGGGTCACCAGAACCCATATAAATGCCAGGCACAGTGGTATGTACTTATAATCTCACTTCTGGGGAGGCAGAAATAGGTGGGTCTCTGGGTTTTGCCAGCTAGCTAGACTAGCCTACTTTTTGAGCTTCAGGCCAGTGAATAATACCCAGGCTGTCCTTGGACCTATGTCATTGTATATATTTGCACACATGATGCACACGCACACTTGTATGTTTGAATGTACACATACACACAAATCTGAATCTAATAGAAAACCACTGTTCAGAAATCACAGCCTAGGATCTAACCTTGAGTCTGATTTTGGATCTGACCTTAGAGCTCACTTTGGAACTGACCTCAGACTCCTTAGACATCTCTAGGTTCAAATCCTGCAATGCCGTGTATTAAGTGATGAATCTTGAAAAGTCACTTAGTTTTTCTGTGCCTCAGATACCTCATCTATATAATTAAGAAAACTAATAGATTTGCCAACAATAGCTATACTGGGAACTAAATATAAAGTTCTCAGAACTCTCAGTCCCTGATGTGACTACTCATGCTCACATGCTGGGCTCTGCCTGGGGTTTTCATTAGCATCTGCTAGAAGTATTCTCATGATAGAAATTTGCATCAGAATAACTTGTGTCTAAAGCATCTCCACAGACAGTAAGTAGATAGGAAGAGAGCCAGGAAAAGGTGATAATTGAGAATTGATGCTTGTGTTCCTAACGTAAGATTATTCATTTACAATTTAGAAGAGATCCCAGTTCCCACAGCACATGTAATCTGGGGGAAATTAATAAATATGGCTTTCATTACATGCATTTGGCAACACAACTCATGTTCAGCTTTCTTTCGTTTGGGAAGGCAGTAAGCAGGAGTGTGAAACATGAGACCATGCATAGCTGACTCCAGTGACGCCTGATCTTTCTCTCGGGTAACAGGTGCCGCAGCAGCAGAGTGTGCAAGAGTACTGGAAATGCGTGAAGAAGGAAAGCATTAAGGGAGTCAAGGAAGCCTGGAAACAAGCTGGAAAGGGCCCTTTTTAAGGAAGACATGTGTAGCCATTGCATTGCCTGTGGTGCCAGAATTTGTGACATTCTTTCAAAGAATTAAGTTTTTCTCTAGGTCTTCATTGAGTTGCTTTGTAATGTAAAGATGCCATGTACTCATTTTCTGATTCAGGAAATGGGGGAGGGGACAAGAGAGGGGAGATAAGTGTGTGCCACAGTGTGCACGTGGAAGTCAGAGGCCAACATGTGGGAGCCAGTTCTCTCCTCCTACCATGGGAATCCCAGAGACTGAACTTGGGTCATGAGCTTTGGTGTCAAGTGCCTTGCCTTGACAAGCCATCTCACCAGCTCTGACTCAGTGATTTCTTGGTAAATTTTCATTAAAGAATATAATAAAAGAACAGGAAGTATTCCTGTATGAAAACACACAATGCATTGTCAGAGGCCTGTATGCAAAGTGACACGCTGGTAAGCTGGAGGCTGGGATTGTCACCGAGTTCTTGGACATGAGAATGTGAAACGCTTTCTAAAAGGCTAAACAAGTGCCACCAGGGAAAGGGGCTTAATTCTCAGACAGGTATGGATGCCAGAAGCTGTCTGTGGCTTCCTAGGGAACAAACGCAGTTAAACACCTGCTACACCGGCTCCACCTGCACTGTACCCTGTCCTATGTGACTGCTCCCTAGCAGTGTGTTCCTTGCCTTGAAAATAGCATGTGTGCGACAGTGCCTCGTCTGGAAACAGAGTAAAGTATTTACATTGGTACAAGAAAAACAAACTTTCTTTTTTAAATCGTCCTTGCTTTTGAGATACAAATACAGTACCCTCTCCCCTGGGGGCTCAGCATGCATGAGACATAGCTGAGTACCATACTTTCCTAGCAACACATATATGTACACACACACCTACACACACATATATGCATGATCATAAGATCAAGGTCTCACAGGTAAGATATATTGGGTTGTGGAAAGCATTCAAGGTGGCACTATAAAGTAGTTGGCAATAAAATAAATGTGATATATGCCAGGTGGTGGCGGAGTATGCCTTTAATCTCTGCACTTAAGAGGCAGAGGCAGGTGAATCTCAGTGACTTTGAGGCCAGCCTGGTCTACAGAGCAAGTTCCAGGACAAGCTCCAAAGCTACACAGAGAAACTCTGCCTTAAAAAACCAAAAAGTAATTAATTATGTTATGTTATGGGAGGATGTGTATACAGGTGGGCATGTATATGTATGTGGAAGCCCCTGCTCATATAAGTAACCCCTCACCCATGTTCTTGAAGTAACCCCAGTAAACTCATTAGTTCACCAAGCTAGACTTGGATGATACTATTGCTTTGGTCTGTTGTGTTTCTTTAAGATTTCCTTTATTTTAGTATGTGCGCCGTGTGTGTACCTATGGATGTTGTAGACCACCATGTGGGTGCTGGGTACCAAAACCCAGGTCCTTTGCAAGAACACAAGTGCTTTAGCTTTGAGCCATCCCTCCCTGTCCTTTATCTAATGAACACATTTGTCCATGTCACACCAAAAACAATGTCACCACAAAACAATCACAAAATGTTAAAAAAAAATTTCTGAGCTTGTTGTAGTTTGGCACTTGGATTGTTAAGAGATTGTTATGGGTCTTACTTTGTTACCCTTCCTGTCCTAGTCCTTGATATGTAGTCCAGATGTCCCTGAATTCAAAGATCCACCTGCCTCTTCCTCCTTCCTGGTGGGACTAAAGGATATGACAGTTATTTATCTCAATACCAAAAGATTGTACACAGCTGCAAGACCAAGAGACTAGCAGGGCGGTGGTAGTTCACTCCTTTAATCCCAGCACTCAGGAGGCAGAGGCAAGTGGATCTCCGTGAGTTCAAGGCCAGCCTGGTCTACTGAGTGAGTTCTAGGACAGCCTCTAAAGCCACAAAGAAATCCTGTTTCAGGAAAAAAAAAAAAAAAAGACTATAGTAGAGCTGCCTCACAGACAAGATTGAATGATTTCAACAAGGCACTCGAACACTGAGTAAGAGAAAGGACTTGTTCTTCAAGAAAATGTGCTAAGAAAACTGCACATCCACATACTCCTTTCTTGACAGCTCATTGAGCTCCGAATGCTGAGTTGTTTTCTAGCTCAGAATTCCAAACTCTTTTCACGGTCCTCCCAAAAATCAACATGGTTGGATCTATCAGAGCAATGCCTAATGATCCTTGTATCAATTTTTGTTCTAGTTTGTTTTCTGTTGCCATGACAAACAACATGACTAAAATCAACTTAGGGAGGAACCTGCTTATTTCAGCCTACATCTTGTGATCACAGTACATCCAGAAGGAAATTAGGGCAGGAACCTGGAGGCAGGAGCCAATGAGGGACCATGGAGGAGGACTGCTTACTCAACAGTCTGCTTTCTTATACCACCTGAGACCATCTGCCCAAGGGTGGCACTACTCCCAGTGGGCTGGGCCCTCCCATAATGATAATCAAGAAAAGAAAATGCCCCCACAGACTTGCCTACAAACCAACCTATGACAGCATTTTCTCAATGGAGGTTCCCTCTGGTCAGATAATCCTAGCTTGTGACAAATTGATAAAAACAAAACAAATAAAAACCAGACTGGCAGTGGTAGTCCATGCCTTTAATCCCAGCACTCGGTTGGCAGAGGCAGGGGATCTCTGTGAGTTCGAGACCAGCCTGGTCTACAGAGACAGCCAGGACAGGCTTCAAAGCTACAGAGACCCTATCAGGGGTTGGGGGCTGGGGTAGATGACACTCCTAGGAATACAAATACACATTCTGATAATCAAAAGATCAATAGAAACACAAATGTATGCATATAAGTGCAACATTACTCCACCACATATAAGGATGAAGCTCTGGCATCTGTTACACCATGGATGGATCTCAGACTACAACATATGTACAGTGAAAGCCAGCAGAAAGGATGTACAGTGGTCATGTACCTAGAGCTGAGAGTTGGGGGGTACCTGTGGTTGAAGAAGGTTAGTTTGAGTTTATGATTTTTTTGTTTGTTTTGTTTTGAGTTTTTTGTTTATGTTGTTGTTGTTTTTGTTCTTCAAGATGGTTTCTCTGTGGCTTTGGAAGCTGTCCTGAAACTCACTCTGTAGAAGTCACAGAGATCTGCCTGCCTCTGCCAAGTGAGTGCTGGGATTAAAGGCATGTGCCACCAACACTCGGCTAAATTTATGAAAGATTTTGTGAACACATATTAGTAATGGTTGCACAACATTGTGGCTGATGTCACTGAGTCACACATTTGTAAATACTGAAAGTTTCCATTTTCGAGTGATACATATTTTATCGCAATTTTTTAGATTAGCAGTGTAATACAGCAAAATGCACTAAATGTGTACTTGAAAGTATAGTATGTGGCCAGGCGGTGGTGTTGCATGCCTTTAGTCCCAGCACTCAGGAGGCAGAGGCAGGTGGATCTCTGTGACTTCGAGACCAGCCTGGTCTACAAGAGCAAGTTCCAGGATAGCCTCCAAAGCCAGAGAAACCCTGTCTCAAAAAACCAAATAAATAAATAAATTATATATATATATATATATATATATATATATATACTGTGAATTATATCTTAATACAGCTTTTTGTTTAATATAAATAAGATTAATCAATAGATTGGAATAGCAAGCTAAAACAAAGGATTAACATTGGAATTGGAATTCTCATCCTTCCTAATTTCTTCTCCACAAGCTAATCAGTATTTTTCAAAAAAAAATTAAATTACATCCATTGGAGGAGGTGGCACACACATGTGTCATGGTGTGCTAGTGGAGGTCAGAATACAACTTGCAGAAGTCTCTCCTTCCACCATGTAGGCCCCAGGGATCAAGCTCACATCTGTAGTCTTGTCTGCAACTGTCTTTCCATCCTGAGCCATCTTGCTGTTTATTACTCAGATAACTCCCCCAGTAATAAATACCTGAGGTAATCAACTTGTAAAAAGAGAAGGGTCTTCGGCTCATAGGTTTAGAATTCCCAGTCCATGATCAGACATGGAATGATTGCTTGCAGGCTTCTGCTGTGGAACCAAGGTGGCAATGTTGGGAACTGTGTAGTGGGACCAACACTTAACCTCTTAGCCAGAAAGAGGAAGCAACGAAGGTCTGTCATTCCCCTAAAGGACATATTCCCCATGGCCTCAAAGCCCTGCCCACTAGGCTCCTTCTAAAGACTTCACTGCCCTAACGTCACCAAGATGATGACTGACCCTTTAAACATGTGGGTCTTTGGGGGGGGGACTCTCACTAACCCACAAATAAGACTGCATATGATGGTTCATCTCTAATCCCAACATTCCTGTAAGAGATGGCAGGCAAAGAAGACAGGAGAGAGACAAGAGATCTTACCTGAAAACAAAATGAAGGAAAGAACTGACTCCCATAGTTACATAGTAGCCCATGGATGCATACATACACACATAAATAAATGATGAAGGGATTATAGATAAAAATATCTCAACGCCAGGCAGTGGTGGTACACACCTTTAATCCCAGCACTCAGGAGGCAGATGCAGGCAGATCTCTGTGAGTTCAAGACCAGCCTGGTCTACAAATAGATAAAAATATCTCAACGCCAGACAGTGGTGGTACACACCTTTAAAACCAGCACCCAGGAGGCAGAGGCAGGCAGATCTCTGTGACTTCAAGACCAGCCTGGTCTACAACAGCTAGTTTTAGGTTCCAGGACAGCCTCCAAAGCCACAGAGAAACCTTGTCTCGAAAAAAAAAAAAAAGAAAAGAAAAGAAAGAAAGAAATTAAAGCCACTGAGATGGCTCAACAGATAAAGGTGCTTGCCACCAAGCCTGACAATCTGAGTTTGATCCCTGGGACCCACCTGGTGGTGGATTCTCACAAGTTGTTCTCTAACCTCCACACGAATGCTCGCTATGGCTTGAGTGCCACACATGTATTTGTAAAATAAAAGTAGTGAATGAATGTGGGGTGGGGGTGGGTGGTGGCTCAGCAGTCTCCAGCCCTGAATCATCTACTGAAAGAGTGAAAATGGGTTTTTTGTCTGATGATACTGTTTGTCCAATCACAATCAGAATGTAATTCTACAACAGCAGGTCCATGTTTGCACTCAGTGCTGTGTCTGAAA